ACCGATCAAAAAGGCCGGGGTCTGTTTTATTTTTTAGTTAATTTTTAGAATTTATTGCTCTATACTGATATGCATTATTTTTGACGATGAACAACCATATCGTATGTCAAATCATCACAGTTTCTAAATTTGTGGATGTATGGCCTTTGCAGTGACAACTAACACATAAACATTTGTCCTATATATTAAACCTACTCTTTCTAAAGATTGCATTTCAAATATCTGTGTGTTTTCTTTAACTCATTTTCTATGTAGATAGTTTAAGGTATTCAGTTTGAATTTGTAGGCATCCAAGAAGTCTGCTCTTGGTGCTCATAAGGTACGCATTGATTTTGACGAATTGGAACACAGAGCTGTTGACTATGAAAAGAAACATGCAGAGGTAAGCATACTTTTTATCACCTTTAGTTTTTTTTTTGTATTCTCATTTCGAACGTTTTCAAATCTCTTTCACTTAACCGGTAAATAAGAATTGTCTTCACAATAACACTATTAGTGTTTCCAACCGTAAGGCATCATGATTTGTTGACTTCATGTTCTTCGTCTCTGCGTAATCAACTGTCATTGCTTGTGAGAATTACGTGTGTAATTTACTATTCAAGAGTGGCGCTAACATTACTCCAACTTCACAGCTGGTGGAACAGGATGAACCTGTTGCGAAGTTAAGTGCTCGGTTAGCAATGCAAGATATTGACAAAAAGTCTCTTCAGGTTGGTTAAAAAATTCTTAATTCTGTGCAAGATTACAGTGCGTTTTTAGGCTAAAGTCGCAGCAGACCCTCAAAAAGCTGCTGCTGTAGAAAGACTTGGTATGGGAGGTTTCGGTAGACCGCGTGCAGCTCACTCCGTAGCACAGGGTGTTAAGACGATTAAACAGGTATGGTATTCAATACATAGTTTTGCTGTCGAACACTAGTTTAGCCCTTGAGGTGGTCAATGCTTAAAAAATAAAATTAGTGATGTTATACGTGCTTAACTTGAATGCAGTGTTCGAGCAAGTCGATTCTGGGTTTTCCACTTTTTCTGGACCATTTCGGTGCTGCAC